TAACTTAAGTCATAGTTAATTGACTATGCTTAAGTCAAAAGATCATCATAAGTATCGTTTGTTTCACAATGCAGTCATTTGAGATGTAGATCGCGACGTTTCGACTGCTAACATCTAGTGTTCACTGGCGCCCATTGAAGAGTAGCAGTATAGCAGTTGAAAGGTCGAAATGACTCCATTGCGGGCAAAAGATATCTTACCTCTATGAACAGCAATCTTTCACGGCAATGGTGACATTTCCTGGAGAAGCTTATGTACGCTTTTTCGAAACCAAGCCGTGTAAGTCATTTTACATCGGTCGAGTGCTGTGTGGCGGAGCATGTGTTTGTCATCGTAACCAAAAGAATCCAAACAAGATACCTAGACGATATCTTCCTAGTGAATTAACACAAAATAAAGTTGAGTCAAATCTAGAGTAATTGCTTAAAACACTCAACTTTGCTCATCGCGCACTCGCCTATTTGGCTTCGGCCACGTTTTTCAACACTAAGTCCTTTTTTGCTCCTTCTTTAAAACTTCATTTTAATGTTTTGACAGTTTCTAACCAGTGGTATTACCTCGTCCTCCGAATCTCGAATATGGCCGGCGATGACATTGTTATCAAGCCTTCAGATGGGGATCCTGTCGGCGGTTTTGTTGTCCGTAAAAACGTGATTGCTCTCATTACAAAGAAAGTCAAGTCGCCTCTGCCCTGCCGCTTTGAAGCAGTCTTGAAGACGAACGATAAGACCAAGTTCTACATTAACTATAAGCCGTCCATTGTGCTTAAACCCATCACCACTAAAAACGCTGCCATTACTCTTACGGTGACTAAGAATGGTAAGTAATGAATGACAGGCTTTACGTGTACCCCTCACCCCACCCCCCCGCCCCCCGAAAGAAAGGCACGCAAACACCACCACCACCAACAGTAACAACAACAACAACAACAACAACAACAACAACAACAACAACAACAGCAAAGCTTCATATCGTGATATTGATTGGCTAGAAGCAAGATAGGATTAAGAGAGAGTTACTCCCCCATTCAGGCCTTACTTCCAAGAGAATCTCTCNCAGTAACAACAACAACAACAACAACAACAACAACAACAACAACAACAACAGCAAAGCTTCATATCGTGATATTGATTGGCTAGAAGCAAGATAGGATTAAGAGAGAGTTACTCCCCCATTCAGGCCTTACTTCCAAGAGAATCTCTCTAAAGCTATTTTTAGATAACTTCAGATTTCGGATATATCAGGAGGGACTAAACATAGCCAATCCTGTGACGTAGGGACATCTCTCTGGGACCAATATTACTGGCACTAACTTAATCACCGAGTAAAGTCCTGCTTTCTTTGTGACTATAATATTTTTAAAGGTTAATCTTTACCCTTGCGGGTAATTCTCCAGGAGACTCAACGAAGGCATTTCACATTCCGTGGGTGGAGCAGATGAACTTGAACTAGGATTATAAATCTTCTGATCGCGGCTTACGACAACAACAACAACAACTTCATTTGTACCCAGCATTTAACATTTTAGTTAGGCTAATAATAATTTGCGAAAAAAATAAAAATAAATAAAGAGAGTACTGGCTGCCACCACGAGGAGATAGAAAAAAAGAGTAGCAATACGTAAGAGTATGAGCGATGCCTAAGCTAATTCCAGCTTTGATTGTGAAATATTACGATTTCGTAAAAGGGAATGGTGCGATGTGCATAAATGATCCATTTGAAGTCTTTTGCATTTGTAGCGGTGAATGTACCTTGTATCTTTGATGAAAGAAAACCTGTGACGAACCCCTCATGAAGTGTGTCGAGATACTCTTTGTCTAGTCATATAATCACTGCTGATATATAGCGAAATTCTTATGGAAGAATGGTTACTCCTTTCGTTCCTTCCTCAAAGTACATCAAGCGTCCTACCTCTATTAAAATTTATATGCTTTTCTTTTTCCTTGTATCAGCATCTCCAGTGGTTATCTTCTACCTCAGCATACGCTTCGCAAACTATGGAACCCAAAGCGTTTCAATCACCACAAGCGACAAGGAACCAGCTCAAGGTTTTACGATTAAGCCAAGAACCATCGTGCAGATAACCAAAAATGTCACAGACAGGAATGCGGTAACGTTCTGGGCCAAAGCAGCGGACCATGACTGTGTTCTGAACAATCAACCTAGCTTGATCATCATTCCTCAAGACAAACCGGGCGCCTTTCAAGTTGTCAACATTACTGATAAATGTACGCAAAAAAGGAGGTTACTCTTAAGTCTCGACTTTACATTCATTTTTTGTCCTTAAAGATCCCTAAGTGTGTAGCAACACTTCAATATTATAAAACCCGCTCTGAAAAAGACTACCAGTTTAGTAGTAGAGAACTTCCCGAAATCTGGGTCTTAAGCCTCCCCCCGTCACCCCCAATCGCAGCTTTTGCCGACTCTTTCGTGGCATTTGAAAGAAAATTTAGTTCGGTGCATTGATAGGAACTGCATGCTCGTTTACTAGTCTATTCTCTTCACGCAGATTAACAACTAGTACTTGTGTTATAGTTGTAAGCCTTTTAACGGGAGCTGTGTGAAATTTGGTACATCACATTAGCAAGACATATTTTGAAGACTCGGATCTACCCATGATACTTAAGTGTATTTTTCCTTCTCCTAATGAAAACTAGGGATTGAACAGAACGTTTAGAAACTTTCGACAATACTCTTAAGATTAGGTTGCGGAAAGTGAAATGGGTCTTACGCAAAGTCAGTGTTACAATTTCATATTGATCTCTTTTTGTGTTCTTTATTATAGACGTTCCTCCAGTATTCCCGCCACCTTCTAATTTGTTTTCAATCCTTGTGCAAATCACAAACAACGCGGGATGTCAAGTGACTGTGATATCGAACGACGCCAAACCACTGAACGGTGAAAGGCTACTCCCTAACAGCATGCTAACTGTCAGTAAACTCACGTCACACATGAAGCCAGTCAAGTTCTTTGCTGTGGATTCTGCCACAGAGAAGCGGCTGCTGATAAATGGAAAGGAAAGCGTCAATGTGTCACCGAGCACGAAACAGATTATGATGCCTCTTGTCATATCAGGTAAATAATTGGAGCTAGAGCAATTTTCAATCGAATCTAATGTTATCACTGGAGGTAATCACTAAGGACACAGAAAATTCAATGAACCAGTCAAAACTTGAAGTAAATACATGTAACTGATAGGAACAAGTGCGCGAACGAGTCACAATTGGTTCTGGTTCCACCTCTGATTGGATGAAAACTTGGCGTTTTTTGTTTCACTTCTGATTGGATGAAAAAGTGGCGCGAGTAATTTTTTTCAAACCAATCGTGTAGCGTAGTGATGCAAAACCAATACTTTTCGATACTCAAGTGAAAACCATTCTAATAGCTGTTAAGTTATAGAGTGTACCAGTTGTAAGTTTTGGTAGACATAGCTTGCCTATTTTGTCACAACGATGGAGGGGTAAGACTGAGCTGTCTGTTTCATGTTTGAAGAAGTTTCTCAGCTTTGTAGTTCACTGTTATCAGGAGTGCATCACTTGACCTTTCTTTCTCATTCCTCGGTGGACACAGTTAATCAATTGAGTCTTTTGACTGATTTTTGTTTTGTTTCCCAACAGATGGTGTTGGAGAAAAGCCAGGTAAATCTCGTTTTGCGTTGTACTTGAATTTCGTAGTGTCTGTTTTTGCTCGTAACGTTTTACAGTTATCATTAGCAAGCAGGAACAATTATCTAAACGGTCGTTTCATTGCCTTTATCCCAGTGATGCCACCACTGTCGCCCAGTCAGTACTGGTCATTCTTTGTGATATCAAATGGGTATATCCCTGGTAAGGCGGCTCTTAAGGTGAACGGCAACTCGCAGACAGTAGACGGTGGTCTGCTATTAGATGGCAGCTCTGGTTACCTTAGCTCTCATTTAAGTGGTCAGAATGCACTGGTCAATCCTGGCGAATTCCTGGACGGTTTTACATTCGGCTTGAAGCTGAAGTTGCCGGCAGCGGTGTTGCAGTATGATAACCCCAGGTACATCCTGGACACGGGAGAGAAGAGTGTCAATTCACCCGGAGTCTCGTTTTACTTGTTGAATAAGAAAATGGTTATGGAAATTGCAACATACGACACTCGTTGGAAGGTAAGTGTCTCTTTAGTCTCATATTTTGCTGCTATATAGTAAGAGAACACGAAGCCTAGATATGTTAGGTGCAACGTCACGGTTTGCACATCTTGAAAAGGTAAGCCTGAATTTTTCAAGTTTGTCGCTGGTAATCCGTGTCAATCTTCAACATCCTCAACCATCCTTGTTCCTTTGTGGTTTATTATTATCTCTTTGCTACTTTCTTATCTTAGTAAACTGTTATTTTCAGGTAGTTCCATTCACCGCCCAAACAACTCAAAATACCGTTACTGAGCTCCTTTAATTTTAACCCTTTTTGTTCCAAGTAAATTTGTTTTGTGGCAGTTGTGAAACATTTTGGTGGTGTATTCTCATTACCTACATTTATCTGCTCGGCGCTATGTTCACCATTTCTAATTATCGCTGTGTGACTGTTCAGGCTGAAACAGACGTAATCACGGACCAGTGGTTTTATCTTATCACAACATGGCGTATGAAAAGCGGTCTTAAAATGTACATCAATGGCGAGGAACAGGCACGGGACAAGGGAGGGGTGGGTGTGCAGAACATGAAAGACTGGAAGCAAAAGGAGAACTTCATCGTTGGACGTAACCTGGGAGGGAACGGAGAGTTCTTTACAAATTTCTACATCGCCTCCTTTGTGGTTTTCAACAATTTCTTGAAGGCACAAGGAGTGTATTCTGTGTACAAGTATTACAACAATGATGGTAAGATTTTCTTGTTATGGTTGCTGTAATATTCTTGCAATAAATTAGTATCAACGACTTTCCTTACTTACAATAAGCCTTGCGGACCTATATTTTGTTTCGCCAGGACATAACCATCTTTGGTATGTGGTACACCGTTAGCGCCAAAGTTTAAGGAGTTATAAGGAGTTAAGCTCTCTAAAGCAAAAACCGGGGAGAGAATCTGAGAGTTTTTGAAAAAAAAAAAAAAAACCATCGTAAAAATCTTGTATAACGCTCAAAAAGTATGCAAAATAAAGTGTTCTGAAAACGTTTGGAAGTTTGTCCAACAAAAGAATCGTTCAGTAAAATCGCTGTCAGTTAGAGTCTAAACTTCCTGTTCTAGGGGTATGACTGCCTCCGGGTTTAGAGAAGGTTTGGAAATAATCTTGAATTTTCTACCCTTGAATGTGTATCAAGACAGGCCTTACGTCGTTCCTTACTTTGTGCCAGTGTCGTTAGTTCCCGATACAAACTTTGTTCAGTTCATCTAGTGATCTGTTTTTGTTCACAGTTTCGGTCCAACCAGCCAAACTGTATTACATCACCCTTCTCGTGAACAACACTGAACCAGAAGAGATTCTTTTGGCCGCAAGTGACAGTCAACCGGCCAGCGGCTTTATCTTGAAGGGTAAAACCTGTAACAGGATTGTGAAGAAGCTTAGGAGTCCTTCACCAATCAAGTTCCGTGTATGGGGTATATCAACTGATAAGCCGTTCTTAGTGAATGATGAAAAAACCATCTCGATTGTGCCCAGTGATTTTGAGCAGGATATGACCGACGTCTCCATCAGAATGGTGAAGCCTGGGGGTGAGTTCATCATCTGATAATTTATCTCTTGCATTTTACACATTGCCGTTGCAAAACGGTAAAGCTAATTTAGTTATGTTATGTCAAGGCGACTCGAACTTCTTGCAAACTAAATTCCCAAAATCAAAATATCTCGTCAGCGAAATAATACGTAAATTTTACGACTTAAAACAAATAAATAAATAAATAAATAAATAAATAAATACAAATAAATAAAAATACGTGAAATAAATACGTAAATTCAGAATAACTAAAGACAAGGCACGAGCTGCGTGTCGCACGTTGTCATCCAAAGTTTGATCTATTACCTTTGGCGATTATACCAAGGACAGGCCTGGCTCAGCTTATACACGCACTTCAACGTCTCGTTTATTTGTCATTTTGGTTTCATGCGTTCCCTTTTTTCAGATGACATGTCACCTGCCCCGAGGTTCCACATGTCATTCAGGGTGGAGAATCAAGCTGGCGTCGCATTAAGGGTGCTCACAAGCGACAATGACCCCCCTGATGGCTTCAAACTGGAGCCAGAGGACACAAGTATCATCACCAAAGAGGTTAGCAACCCCAGTGATTTGTCCATTCGTGCAGTTGTACCGGGCGAAGAGAAGACGTTACTGGTTAATGGCCTGCAGAATCTCCTTATATCACCCAGTGTGGCGCCTGGAGATCCCTATGTAATGAAAATCACAGGCAAAGGAGGTGAGAGTTTCGTTCTTTGATTTCTCTTAACGGCGCTGAATAATTATTAAAGTGGCCGAGTAAAGGAAAATGACCTAAAATAATTGAAAACTGTATTAAAACACTCAAATTCCCAGCTCATTTAGTAGAGGAAATACATTAAACTATTTCAACTTAAGTGTTGTGATGCAGCCGCTTCAAAATTCAAAACAGCCTGTATTCGTGTTTGTTTGTTTGTTTGTTTGATTGTTGCCTCGTTGGTTTGTTTGGTTGGTTTTTCCATGTTTTTCAGCGTGTCTCGATGTGCTTAATTGAAATAACCGATTTCAAGGCGCAACTTACCGATAAATTCTCATTGTGATTACTGAATCGAACTAAATTCCACGTGTGGGAGGTGCATGACCAATATGAAACGACTTTGAGCAAGTAATACATTCTAACTTGTAATATTGCCTCGTTCCTACTTCGCACATTCAACAGATGTTGTTATTCTTTCAGGAGAAGCAGCCCCAGATGGTGGTATTGTGGTAAATACTCCACCAGGTGAACATTTTTTTTTTTTTTTCTTTTTTGGGTGCTTATTTTATGACTGATGATTTATGAGCGTCATGAAGTTGACTATGAGGGCTCTCACAAAGTTCGAACTTGTGAACGTTATCGGCTGTTAGGTCCATTTTACATGTAGTTGTAATAATTAAGTTATCTTCTGCCAAGTCGTGGTTTAACAATGGTCTAGCCTAGGCTTAGTTTGTTATCTGGCTGTTATCGTTTTCACAGTCCCAAGTATCTACTTCTGGAGGTTAAAGCACGTCACGCCACAAGGCTTCATGGAGGGTAACCCTGCTTTCAGAGTGCACGGAACCGTTCAGGCGAGTGACGGTGGTGTGGCATTTGACGGACAGACTGGGTTCCTGACCACTGACATGAGTGCTAATGACTGTGTGATGAACCCTGCTCTTTGCCCCAAGGGTCTTTCAATTGGTATGAATCTGAAGTTCGACCAGTCAGTGAAGGACTACAAGGAACCAAGATATCTGATTGACACGGGCGCTCAAAGCTCGCAGACTCGTGGTATTTCGATTTATGTTAAAGATGGGAAAGTCTTCTTTACTTTGGCGATTTCACAGAAGGTTTGGGAGGTAAGCATGAAACAATTTAAGGTTCTTATTTCCACGCACTGCAGTGATCTAGATCGTATCCTTAGTC